GTGTGTGTGTGTGTGTGTGTGTGTGTGTGTGTGTGTGTGTGTGTGTGTGTATTAGAGGCCCAGTGCATGAAATTCATGCAAGGGGAGGGGGGTGGTCCCTCAGCCCAGCCTGTACCCTCTCCAATCTGGGACCCCTCAGGGGATGTCTGACTGTCTCTCGCAATCCCAGACCACTGGCTCCTAACTGCTCACCTGCCTTCCTGCCTTATTGCCCCTAACCCCTCTGCCTGCCTGCCTGATTGCCCCTAACTGCTCCACTACTGGCCTGATTGCCCCTAACTGCTCCCCTGCTGGCCTGATAGCCTCTAATCACCTCTGCCTTGCCCTGCACCCAGGACCCAGGATTCCCTCTTCTGGCCAGCTGCAGGCACCCAGGACCCGTGCCAGCTTCGCCTGGGCTGGCTGCAGCCACAGGGGACCGTGGGTGGGCGACTTTGCCTGGGCCGCAGCCACAGGCGCCCGGGACCACGGAGGGGGGAGGGTGGCTTGTCCCTCTCCCGGGCTGCAGCCCCATACGCTGGTGCCTGGGACTGTGGGGCATGTGGCTTGTCCCTCTCCTGGGCCACAGGCACAGGCGCAGCCACTGATGCCCAGGACCGCAGGGCAGGTGGCTTGTCCATATCCTGGGCTGCAGGTACAGGCACAGCTGCTGGCGTCTGGGACCATGGGGCAGGTGGCTTGTCCCTCTCCCAGGCTGCAGCCTGGCTGAACCCATTCCTCTCTTGCAAGCTCATTTGTGCCTGGCTGTTTCCCATTCCTCTCTTGTGAGCTCATTTGGGCCTGGCTGGTCCCCATTCCTCTCTCCCCAGTGTTGAGTGTCTGAGCCATTCAAGCGTGACGGCATGAGGGCGTGATGACCATTAGCATATTAGCTCTTTATTATATAGGAGATATATATATATATATATCTGGAAGAATATGGGAGATGAAATAATAATAGGTATCATGCAAAAAAAGAAGAAAGAGAGGAAGAGAGGGAGAGAAATAGAGTGAAAGATACAGAGACAAAGCAAGAAAAAAGAGAGAGGAAATGAGAGAGGAGAAGAAAAATGAAGAGAAGAAAGACAATTATGAATCTGATGCTAGAATGATATTGGACAGTTCTCAATCAATTTAAGAACTGCCATTTCTACTTCTAGTCAAGATGGCAGCATAGGTAAACGAGGTACTTGAATCCTCACACAACCACATCAAAATTACAACTACAGAACAACCATCATTCAGAACTGCCTGAAATCTAGCTAAATGAAAGTCCTACAATCAGGGATTTAAGGAAGAAGCCATACCAAGACTGGTAGAAGGGGTGGAGATGTGGAACAGGCTGGTCCTACATCCATGTGTGATGCTTTAAGGTTGGGAGACATATCTTGGCTATGGAAGTCCCTCTGGAGGAGCAAGGGGTCCCAGTCCCACACCACACCTTCCAGCCTAGGGATCCAGGGCCAGGAAGAGAAGTTCCCCGTAACTTCTGGCTGTAAAAACCAGCAGAGATTGTGGCTGAATGGGATGGAGAGCTGCTGAAGTCCCAGGCAGTTCCTCTGAAAGGGCCCATGCACAGACTTACTTGGACTCACTCCTTCTGAGATCCAGTGGAGCAGCAGCTTGAAAGGAACCAGGAACATACAGGGAGGAACTGAATTGTTCAGCATCAGGGTGAGAGCTGGGGAAGGCAACTTTCTGCTAGAAAAAAGGCTGGCAGAGGCCAATGTTCCTTTTCTGAGCCCTCCCCCCACAGACCCAGCAGGTGTGTGCCATATCTAAGTCTCCATCAACCTGGCTCACACTGTTCACCCCATCATACTGATTCCCTGAGACACCCCCCCCCAAAATTGTGGGCCCACCCAGGCCCACCCATTTCTATATGAATAGCCTCTTTTGCCTCATGCTTAGGACTTTCCCAAAATCTCTCAAACAAGTAGCATCTGGCCTCTGCGTACCTTGTACCTCTTCCCAAGAGGCTCCAGACCTGGCACTAATGGCAGTCAGGCTTGGTTTGCAGATTGGCTTCTCCTGGGCACCTCTAGGCCCCAAGTAGAAACCCTTTCCAGATCACCTTGTGGCTTGTGCTGGGTGACCCCAGGCAAGGTACCCAGTCCCACACCACACCTTCCAGCCCAGGGATCCAGGGCCAGGAAGAGAAGCTCCCCAGTACTGACCTAGTACCTCTCAGGAGGTACCAGAGCCAGTGGACAGCTTCAGACCATGCTAGATTAAAACCTTACCACCTCCATGAGCTATACACTAAAGGGGAAGACTTGGTGAGCACCAAAGCTCCACCGAAGCAAGTTCTATGCCATACAGTGAATCCTGCAAAGCAACTCCTCTGCTGTAGTCACAGTTGGTCCTCACAGCCAATATGCCTGGGCGTCAATCCCTCACAGTGACACCAACAGCAATCAAGGCTCAACTGCATCAGGACAGTGCACACAGCCTACACAGGGGCACACCTATAGCACCCAGCTTGGGTGACTGAGGAGGCTGCACCACTGGATCCTATAGGACACCTTCTACAAAAGGCCACTCTACTAAGTCAGGAGATACAGAAGTCTTACTACATAGAAACAAACATAAGGAAGAAGCCAAAATGCAGAGATAAAGAAACAGGTCCCAAATGAAAAAACAAGAGAAATCTCCAGGAAAAAATTAAATGAAATGGAGGCAAGCAAATTACCAGATATAGAGTTCAAAAAAATGGTTATAAGGATGTTTAAGGAACTTACTGAGAACTTCAACAGCATAAAAAATGGACATAGAAACCATAAAATAGAACCAGTCATAAATGAACAATACACTAAGTGAAATGAAGAATAATATAGGGGCATAAAAAGTAGAGTAGATGAAACCAAAAGCAAATTGGCAATTTGGAATATAAAGAATGAAAAAGCATCCAGTCAGAACAGCAAAAAGAAAAAAGAACCCCCAAAATGAAGATAGTGTAAGGAGCCTCTGGGATGACAAGCGTATTATGGGGGTACCAGAAGGAGAAGAGAGAGAGTAAGAAATTGAAAATCTATTTGAAAAAATAGTGACAGAAAACTTCCCTAACCTGCTGAAGACATACAAGTCCAGGAAGCATAGAGAGTCCCAAACAAGATGAACTCACAGAGGCCTACACAAAGACACATTACAATTAAAAGTCAAAAGGTTAAAGACAACGAGAAAACCTTAAAAGCAGCAAGAGAAAAGCAAGGGAAGTCCCATAAGACTGTTAGCTGGTTTCTAAACAGAAGCTTTGCAGGCCAGAAGGAAGTGGCATGAAATATTCAAAGTAATGAATAGCAAGGACCTACAACCAACATTACTCTACTATTTAGAATTGAAGGTCAGATAAAGAGCTTCCCAGACAAGAAAAAGCTAAAGGAGTTCATGACCACCATGAAATGTTAAAGGGTCTTCTTTAAGAAGAACAAGAAAGAAAGAAAAAGATAAAATATATGAATAAAATGCCAATAAATACATATCTATTAACAATGTAATCTAAAAAACAAAATAAATAAGCAAGCAGAACAGAAACAGACTCGTAGATAGAGAACATTGTGACAGTTGCCAGATGAAAGGGGGTTAAAGGGATGGTTGAAAAAGGTGAGGGGATGGAAAAGTACAAATTCATTGTTATAGAATAGTCATGGGGATGTAAAGAACAGCATGGGGAATATAGTCAATAATATTCTAATAACTATTTATGGCTTCAGATGGGTATGAGATTTATCAGGATGACCGTTCAGTAAGTTATATAATGTCTAATCACCAGGGTATACACCTGAAACTAATATATCATATGTCAATGGTAATTGAAAAAATAAATTGTTGAAAAAGAATTGCCATTTCTAATTGTTAATACATGGAAGATATGAATTGAAAGGAATGAGAAATTATAATGAATATGTAAATATATTTAATACAAAATTCATTTTAAAAGAGTCCTCAAGAAAGCATGTGGAGCCATCTTGATAAAAAGTGATGGGAATATTCCATTTCTAATATTATTATATTTCAATTTCACAATGCTCTTCCCAATGCAAATAGTTCATACTTTGTCTTTTGTCCCTGTGGGAACTTTTCCATAGCAGCAATGACTAACGTGCTGTCCTAAACGGGGACATTTGTTCAGGCCTCGCATTTGTATTTCCTCCACTCTGCTCCAGGAAACTGCTACACTTGGAGTGTATCTCCAGACAGAATTTTAGGAATGGTCATCTCTAATGTTAGAAGCAGGATTAGGATGACTGCTGGATGCGCTATTTCCTGACTCTGCTTCTGTCATAGGTGGCAGGACAAGAGGAGTTGTGTCACAGATGAAAAAGTAAGGTCGGAGAACACCATTGAACAGTTGGCTGAATGTGTAGATGTAAGACCCATTTGTGATGTCATAAAAGGAGATTTCACCTGCTTCATAGTCCAAGAAAATCCCAATGCGACGAGGCCGTTCTAGGTGGAGGAGAGGCACCGATGGGGAGGCAAGGACCATGTACTCATTCTCTTTCAGCAGCCACATGGCCCACACTCCGTTCTCGGGAGATGGTGTAGTTTCCCCCTTTCTTGACACTGTGTCTTGAGAGACTCCTAAACCCCACTCAGCTCTTTCTCCCACCATGACTTCCCAGTAATGCCTTCCTGATGAGAAGTTCTGCAGACCCAGGATGCAGGGCCACGTGTCAAATCGCTCGGGGTTGTTGGGGACATCCCTCCACAGTTCTCCGTCCTGCACACTGCGCAGGTCAGCAGTCAAGAGGAGGCTAGGATGCGCTGTGGCCGGGTCCAGCTTTACATCAACTATGGAAAAAATTTTGTGGGAGATGGAAAAGGCTGGTAAACACATAGGAATCCATTATACTGAAGAGAATAATCACACCATTCCTCATTCTCTAACAACTGCTAGAGAAAGCACAGTAAGTATTTCATCTTGCAGGTCACTAAAAATATTCTTCATTACATCTGAGTGTATTCCACTGCTACTCTGAATCCAGGGCTCATTATTGCCCCATTGAAAACATAACCACTGATGCTATAACAAAACAAGTGTATAACCACTTGGCATCCTTTTCTCTACACCCAAAGCACTTGGGTGCTCTTCGAGATATCTTTGTGAATTTAAAATAAAATTTAAAAACTACTTGGAATATATACAATTTCTTCTAAGAAACTATAAGAAAGTTTCATTAATATAAAAATCATCACTTTCAAAGGTATGTTAGGTGGAATTCTGAGGTAGAACCCATGACCTTCATACTCTGGTGATACTCAAGAGGGAGATTATCTGGGTGGGTCTAATATAGTCACATCAACTTCTTTTAAAAAATCAGAGAGGCTGCTCTGGATATTGGGCTCCTGCCAAAAAAAAGGCAGAGATATTTGCATCTGATCTGGCTTTGCTGGCTTTGAAGATGGAGGGGGCACCCCATGAGGAGAAAGGCAGTTGACCTCCAACTGGCAGTCAGCAAGGAAATGGGGATCTCAGCCCTACAGCTGCCCGGAAATGCACTATGCCAAGACCCTAAGGAAGGCTGGAAGATATTCTTCCCAGATCTTTCACAGAAGCCTCGCCTGGCCAACAACTTGATTTTGATCTTGTGAAACCCTAAGCAGAGAAGACAGCTCACCCCATCTGGAAGTCTTATCTGCAGAACCTTGAGCTAATAAATGCATGTGGCTTTAAGTAACTAAGTCTGGGGGCAGCAATAGGACACAAATACTGACACTGGGAAGTCCCAATGAGATTGATGTGAAATTTTACTTGTACACATAATAAGTAAATCTACATATGAAATCTCGGTGAAGAAGTAAGCATGTAAAATATTCAGTGTTTTCTCTTTATAAATAATTTAAAAAGTGAATTTCATTAATATAGTTTTATTTTTAATATCACAATTAACAAATATTACTACTATGATTGCTATTCTTTGTCTCTAAGTCACTAATAGTGATTTTTTTAAATACTCACACCTGAGTGTGTCACACAGGTGGCATACCATCTAGCTGACCCATGAAACCACCTCCAGGTGGCCATTATCACCTCCACATTACGATGACAAGACTCAGTCAAAGACTTCATGTGATTATTTTCTCAAACTCTAGAAACAGTAAATAGCAGGGCTTGAAGGTGGGTCTCCGTGGATTGTTAAGCCTATTTAACATGCTACGTCTTACACATCATTCCTGCTCCAGCAGCCTTCTCTGTTCCATTGACAAGGAAAGAAATCTGTG